CCCCCCCAGACGACCCCGAACGCCACCGATGGCGGCGACAACGGCTGGTTCCGTCGCGGACAGACCGGGGACGCTGCTGCTAACCCGGACGAGGCTGAGGAAGTGTGGGTTCGCGGCGACGCCGAGTAAGGTAAGATGCTTCCAACGCCTCACCTAGCCGCTTGCGCCTCTCCTTGAGTGTTGCTTGAGTGAGAGGGACACATGGCTCCCACTTGAATTCCGCCACCGTGCCTCTTGTCCACCACGGGTCTCTGTTCCGTAGTAGTGATGCCCACACCTCGTTGACGCGCCTCACCTGTCCCATTGTCTCGCACATGTTGTGCAGGACTACGCAGCAACACGCACCTGCCAGCACGCGCCACAGCTGGCAGTCGTTGCGGCCCGCGAATAGTCGCCATCTGCCCTTGAAGGCCCCGATGCAGCGCTCTACTGCCATGCGCGTGGCGCTTTGACAGTAGTTAAAGCACTGCGCCCAATCTTCCATTAGGCCCTCTTGGGTACATGTAGGGGGGTCAGGCAGAATTTTCTGAGTGGGTAGGCTGCATCTCCCACGTGTCTCCCAAATTTTCTGAGTGGGTAGGCTGCACGTTTGATAAGGCGCTATGTCGCCGTTGTGCAACCTCTCTTGTAGTGCACTGTTCATGAACACACGTTGGTCGTGTGCACTTCCCGGGTACCCTATCAGGTAATCCCAAATGATTCTGCGCGCATTGCAGGTGAGCTGCAGCTGGACGGCGTAGGCGGACTTCCTCGTATAGTACTCCTGCCTGTGACCTTCCATTCCTTCGATGTGGATGTGTGTCCCATATATAGCCCCCACCACAGCAGGTACCCCCTTGACCGCGCGAAACTCCTCGGCCATCTCGGCAAGATCCTCAGCGGTTGGGAAGTGCACCCATTGCTGCTTGAAGACGCTCGGGAAGTGCATCAGCCACACGTCGACGAGGGCGTGGCAGAGGGTCTTCGAGAGTCCGAAGAAGTGCGAGAGGTCGACGTACGCCATACCACTTGCCAGGTACTTTATTGCTACCAAGTTGGCTATGTCGTGCGTGATGAAATGGCGCTCGACGTAGGGCAGCATGTAGTACGACATTCCATCAACAATGTCTCCAAGGATGGCACGGTTGATCCTGAACAAATCCCTGAATTTCGTGTCGCCCATGCCCCGCATGTCTTCGCCCAGCAGCATGTATCTCTGCCGATGCAAGCGTGCCCTCCTCGCGCACTCTGCCGTCCTGTTGGAGCAGTGTGAGCTCTCGGCCGTCGAGTCTTCGCTGTCGAAGACATCGCCTTCGAGCATGCCGCCGACAGCACGCCCTACTACGTCCATAAAAATGGTGTAGTAGAATGTGATCCAGGCCACCAGGAGCCGCATGAGAAATGGAACAGCTCGCGGCTCTGCCATCACTGCACACTTGGCTAGAGGTGTAGTGTGCAGAGGAGGTGCTAGCTAGGAAATAGGCATTTACAATGCAATGTTGTAGATTTGTACGTGCAGTTGTGATGCATCTTTCTGGAGCGCATCAGAAGGGTTTTCAGCTTAGCGGGGACAGGTTTCTGGACCCCTCCGCTTTCAGGGAATGGACAGCGCTATTTGCGCACAGTTTCTGCATAAGTCTGGGCTAGGGGGGGAGGGTTATTGTTCAGGTTAAGGAGTCGAGCTCTCAATGAGCCACGTGGCTAGTCCTACACAGCTCGCTTACTGTACATCTACAATTTCCAATTCTGCACAGCGCCTTCTTATCTTTTTTATCGAATACAGTCCAAGTTCGGGGTAGCTCGTCAGCCTACTGTGCCCAAACCTGTGTGGCCGTAGTTTTTTTTTTTTTCCGTCGAATATATAGTGCACCCAAAACCCTGAGAATATAGTGCACAAGTTCCTGATCGAAAAAAATAATACCCAATATAGAGGTTGCGACTCGGGAGGCATCAACCCTAACAAGAAGGAGGGTCCCGTGTTTAGGGTTGATTCCTCCCTAAAATGCGTCCGAGGGAGCATAAACCCCAAACACCATGCCACAAGGTGTTTAGGGTTGATGCCTCCCTGACTAGATGCCTTCCCGACTGGGTTTTTTTTTTTTTTGTCGCGTGACCGTTGAGTATTTAGAATGTAATAAAAGGAATAGAAACGACAAACACGAACAGAGGAGAATCTGTGATTGAACACCTACAGTGAGTTTTTTTTTTAATTGGGACACGTGGCTCATTGAGAGCTCGAGTCCCTAATCTGAACAATAACTCTCCCCCCCTAGCCCAGCCTTTAGCGGAAACTGTGCGCAGAAAGCGCTACCCCAAACCTGAAAGCGGAGGGGTCCAGGAACCTGTCCCCGCTAAGCTGAAAACCCCATTAGAACATGGTGTGTTGCCTCCTATGATTTTGTTTACGAGCGTGCCCGGCGCCAAACCTCGAAACATTGGGCCCATTGTTGAGAACCAGTTTTTTGAACCTCTAAACACCCTTGCGAAACGACCCTGCGGAACGAACCTCCTGCACCCATGCACGACCTCTCCGCCACCTAACCCGACTATGTCGCCACCTAGGCTAACACCTAGGTTTTTACCTACAGCGGATAATCGCAGCCCCAGCTTACTTGCCTATTCCACCGTTCGACTGTCAAACCGTCGCCGATCAGGCTGGTTCCTGTCACTCGACATCGTTTCGGCGTCAGGTAAGTTGGTCCTCCTCTTCGGTCTGCTTCCGCTGCTCACCTCGCTATCCTTTCCTAACCTCACGCCGTCATGCAGAGCTCAGGTCGTAGCAACTCCAAGGCCGAACCCGCCCTTTGTTAACACCCTACGCCTTACCTCGACCAGTTTCGCCTTTCGCTCACGCTCACGCTCTCGCTCGCTTGCTCTCAGTTTCTCTCTCGCGCTCTCGCTCATCTGCTCTCGCTCTTGCTGCCACCTCGGAGCATCTCAAGGTTGCCGGAAGCCCTCATCTGCCCTCGCGCCGCCGACGGTTAACCGGCCGCATAAGCACGCGCTGCTTCTCATCGCTCCGCTATGCGTGCTCGCCCCCCCTTCACGCCTTCCCCAATTTTTATGTCAAGCATGCCGTCGTTCACAACGGAGCTTGACCGCGCGCCTCGCCTCCCTGACGCTCCTTCGCGAGTCGGGCAGGCGCCATCCCTGTGGAACGGAAAGCCTACCGCACGCCCCCCTGCAACGCCCTTCCCGCTCTCTGTGGGACTGCGTTGGCGTCTCACCTTCGCCGTACTTTTATTTTTGGCAGCGGTGGCAGCCCCAAGCGTGTCTGCGCAACCACCCTCGCTCCCCTCTTCAGGTAAGTAGTACCGCGCACCCTCCAGCCTTTCTCAATCGGTATCGTATCAAGCCACATGATCATTCGTTTTCCCTGTTTTTCTGCAATGACGCTCTCTCTATCGCTTCGCTGCTCCCCACCTCACCTCAACACCCCTGCCTATGTGCGTGGTACTCGGGTTCGGAATGCCGATCAGGCTGCCAGCCCACTCTCGTGAATCGCTGTGGCCAACGCCTTTGCGTTCACTCCCCCTCTCTAGCCACTGCTGGCGCTTGGCCTTGTGCTTCGAGAAACCTATCGGCCCCCCAGCCATCTCTCTTGGACCGCCCTGGCTCCCTTTCTAACACCCCTGTGGCATCTGTTGCACCCTTCACTGTCTCAGCTCACAACACCCCCCTCCCCCCCTCTTCCCGATGCTTCCTAGCCACCTACCCTCCCAGTCTCGTGCCCTTCGTCGGCATGATGCCGTCCCCCCCCCTCCCTCAGGGTCGGGCTTGTTCCCCCCCCTGTTGGCTCCCACAGCTGGCCCCATCGTTGATCTTCCATATTTCAATTTGCTGCTATACCGCCCCTCTGTTCCCCTGGATCAGCCTCCCCCCCTCAAGCCCCTCAGGCTCCACCCTGGACCCTCAGGTGGCCTAGAGGCCCCGCTGCTCCACCCTCCACGCCCTCCGCATCCTCACTCGCGTTGCTCCCTGCCCCTACTCTCACTCCGCGATCCAGGCAGCTTGCCTCGTTTCTTCTGCTTCTCAGAAGCTTATCCGCTGTCGGAGGAACATCCCCCATGGCCTGCAACCCTAGTAACCTCTGCTGCCCCTGGTCTGCGTACCCCGCGATATTGCACGTCCGGACTTTTCACGCTGCCCTGTCGGACAGGTTTCACTTGTGATTGTGCACCAACTAGCTACGACCTGCTTTTTTCTTGCAGCTCCAAGTCTTGTAGCTGGAAACATTGCTACCAGAATAGCACTTTATACTTCTCCCATTGCAAACTGTCAACACTGCCTTATAGTGGCAATGCATCGCTCATTTACGTCAAAAGCCGGAAAAGGAGTCGCACCTTTACCAACCATAAGTACCATACACTAGCACCTAAGGTCTATTTGTGTGCTACCTTGCCACATTCCACACCCGCCCTGATCCTCCCGCCAGCCTGGTGGGGTAGTTACGGATATGCTCACATAAAGCTGGTTCGCACATACACTATACGCACCACAAACTCCATACAAGTACCCCTACATAATAGCCTCACCAGCAATGGAACCCCCTGCGCACGAAGGAGAAAAGCCAGAAAAATCAGAAGCAGGACCAGCCTCCATAGCCCAACAGAACCTAGAATCCACCACACTTACCTTCTGAACGAACACCTCCCCAACAAACACACTGCGCCTACAATGCTCGACTCCACAACCCACTGCCCCACGCGACCTTCCCTACCGTGAAGGCCACGACATATCGCTCGCGAATGCACTATTGCAAGAACCTCCCCCTCACCCACACGAACACAGCACAACACCATGTGCCTTCTTCCCCAAGCTGACCGCCTAGTGCCTTGGGACACTGCGCCAATCCCTCGCTCCATCCCCCACCTGCCCTACCCGACCACGCAGCAAAGCTCCCTAAGACCCAGGCCGTGGATACGCACGCTTTCCCGTGCGGTGGCCTCCACAGCATGGCCATGTTAACACACATACGCATCCTATGCATTAACGTGAACGGAATTGGCGGGACACGCAAAATGGATGAGCTGAAGTCGTGGCTGGCGAGACTTCCTGCTCCCACTGACCTCGTCATCCTCATCGACACCCGGCTCATCGACAGAATCCCCAACCTGGACTTAAAGTTTCGACCGCACGCCTCCGCTCACGCCCCAGCACTACTCTCTACCGTCAACACCACAGGGAGGCCCACTCTCATCGGTGGTGTCTCCATTCTATCTTTCAACAGGGCTATCTCACTGTCCTCTCCACTCCCCTCCGCGGATGGCAGACTTCTCACTGTACACCTCAACTATCTCTGTGAGCAAATCCGCCTTATCGCCATATACGCCCCCACACAGTTCTACGAGCGCAGGATGTGGTGGACCACCACACTCGTCCCGGCTCTAGAAGCCCCGACCGCTGCTGCTGCATCCATGCTTGTCGGAGACTTCAATTTGGTAATCCTTCCCATCGACAGAAACCGCCCTCCCAAAGACTTCGAGGTCCGTGAGGGCGCTTCATTCGCCAAACTCATGGATAATCACGCACTGGTCGACACCTTTTGTGAACTCTACCCCACGCCGACAGACGTCTTCTCCTTCTATGGGAGGCAGCGTCACAATACTGCAACGCCGCCCACCTCCTCCCGACTCGACAGGATATACATCTCTCGGGCCTTCGTATCACGTCTTGCTGCATGTCCGTACATCCAAACCCGCACGGCAATCACGGACCACCTCTACGCCCCCCTCTGCTCACTTAGCTTCATCAACCCAACTGTTGCCCCTCGACCATGGCGACTCCGACAGCATCTACTCATGCGCCCCCATGTCTCACAAATCATTGACTCCGCCATCGCAGTCTTCCCATCCACCCCTTCCCCGGACTTCTGGGACAGATGGAAACTCGACCTCACCCTTACCCTCAAGCGTTTTTCCAACCAGGAGAGACGTCGCGTCGATGGTACGGTCGCTCATCTCGAACATACCATCGGCTCCCTACAGCGACATGCAGCGTACACGCCCCTGACTCAGGCCGCGTCCAACTGCCTTGACCAAGCAAGACTCCATCTGGCTAGGTATGAAGCTGCGAAAGCCTCCGAGATTGCGCTCAAGGCCAAGCTCAAAGTGGAAGGGCACAGAAAAATGGGAGTGTCCTCTCTTCTTTCTGGCCTCAACTCATGGATCAAAGGCTCGATCATCAGCTCGCTGATCTTACCTAATGGACAGACGACTTCGGACCTCCCCACCATGACCAACATGTGCTCCAACTTCTTCCAGACACTCTACAGCGGTAACAACCCCATCGCCCCAAGCAGGTTCTTTTGGCAACACATCCCCCCCTCCTCCATCCCGGACCCCTTACTCCTACGACTCAGCGCCCCCCTTTCCCTAGCTGAAATTGGAAAAGCGATGATATCCCTGTCCCGAGGTAAAACCCCCGGCCCAGACGGCCTTCCCGGGAAACTTTTTCGGCAATTTTCCCCGCGTTTTGAACCGCCCTTCCACTCCCTGCTCTCCTCAATACAGCCACTCTCTCGCCTACCTCCGTTCATGCTGACCGGGCGCACTGTCCTTATTCCAAAAAGAAGTGACTCCTCGCTAGTAGAGAATCTCCGCCCCATCACCCTCATGAACGCCGACTACAAAGTCCTCGCTCTCTGTCTGGCTAGCCGCCTTCAGCTCGTTCTCCCCCAGCTCATCCACCCATCACAAACCGCCTTCATTAAAAACAGGAAAATCGGAGACACAATCAACGATACCCTCGACATCATGGACTGGGCGGCCTTCTCTTCGGCCCCTCTTCTCGCTCTTACGGTGGACTTTCGGAAGGCCTATGACCTCGTCGATCGGCCTTTTCTCTTCCAAGCCTTAGCGGTCCTCGGTCTCCCTGCATCCTTCATCCATTGGGTACGACTAATGCACTCCGACACGAACACACGAATCTTGGTCAACAACATGCTCGGCCCCACCTTCCCCGTCCGTACGGGCGTCCGACAGGGCTGCCCTCTGGCGCCTCTACTCTTCGTTTGTGTCATTGAGATCTTTCACCGCTATATGGCCCTCTTCCTCCCCGGCTTCGCTCTGTCCCCCGCCGAACGCCGACTCATGGCATGCTACGCGGACGACGTAACACTCTTCCTCACATCCGACACAGAGCTCGGCATCGCAGTGATGCTCCTAGGCGTCTTTGGATCCGTGTCTGGGGAGGTCCCCAACTGGAACTAATGCTCCATTATTCCTTTCAACATTCCCCCCACTGACCTTGTGCACTCCGGGCCTATACCCGTTCGAGCCCCCGACGAAGCAGAACGCATCCTTGGAATTTATGTTGAACGACTACACCCCGGATCCACTACTTGGACTATGGCTCTTGCTCGTATACAAAACAGTGCCAAATTCCTGGCGGCCTTACACGCCACTGTCACGTGCCGCAAATCTCTCTCATCGATCTTCTTGAACTCTGTCATCTCTTATCCTGGACGCTTCCAACCAGCTCCACCGGACACCATCAAACGCATAGACATATCAGTCGGGAATTTCCTCTCATCCTCCAAACATAAACAGGACGGCCTCGCACAACGATTCCTCCCCAATGGCCTCTTATACAACTCCCCCCGAGATGGCGGGGTTGGAGCGATCGCCCCTTCTACACAGGTCAAAGCCCTCGCTATCCAGCGTGCCTTGCGCAGATTGGACCCACACCGTCTGAAGAAGTTGCGCGTACCCTGACCCCGTTCCCCTATGGGCTACACGGTCTGCTCTCCCATAAAGCCATCCTCGAACGAGGCTATCTCCCCACCTTCATCCTCGTTCCCCTACGAGGCTATATCCCCACCTTCATCCTTGCGCTGGACGAACTAAAAGCTATCCTCTCTCTTCCCCTGGTAATCCATGACCCCCCCCTACGCATGCAGTGCATCCTCACCGAACCTCTCGCCTTCAACCGCTCGCTCCTCAAACCTGACAATCGGCCTTTCGGCACCCGCCAACACGAGCGCTTCCTGCTTACAAGGCAGCTCCGCGTCGGACACATTGTCCGAGTCACCAACCTTGGCGTGAACCCCATCTCAGCACAAGATTTTCGTTCCCAACTCCCAGAGGAATTCCACGATGACGCAACCAGCATCCTCCCAGATCTCATCAAAGCTATCAAACGTCCCTGGTGGGCCGCCCCCCGAACCCCACACGCCTCCTCTGCCTCCCCAGACGACTGGTTCATGCTTTCCGACGACCACTACTCCATCTCGCACCTAGTTGTCAAAGTCGTCGCATACATTCCCCCCTCCTCCATCTCGGCTACCGTCCACCTCGTATCGCCAAACCACCGCATCACTTGCCCCCCGGCATCTACTGGACTCTTCCGTCTTCAGGACCTCATAGAGGTGCACGTCAGGGACTGGTGGCTCGCAGGGCCACTTCACACAGGGGCAGGGTTAGAAGCTAGGATAGAACTTCTACAGGACGGCGTCCCCAGCCTCGCCGACATCCGACGTCTCCTCTACTCACCGCAACCGCTTACTCACCACAGCCGATGGACCCGCGACCTCACCCTTCCTCCTCCTCCCCTCCCTGGCCTTAAGGACTCATTTTTCAAAGACCAGCCGAGCCTCCAACGGGACATCCTTTTCAGACTCTACACGCTCACCCTTCCCTCTTGATCACGCTTTCAATATTTTGACGACCGAGGGGTGTGCCCCCGGTGCCCAGCTGGCGTCGTCGAGACACTGCCGCACATCTTCTTTGAGTGCTCCTCCGCCGGAAACGGCATCTCGGCCCTCCGCACTGTCGCTGACCGCCACCTCAGACAACCTACCTCCGCCGAACACATCTTCTTCCCGATACAGTCACGGGTGGGACAATCCCCCCCATGGAGCCTTCTAATAGGAGCCGCAGTTAAACACTATGGAACAATCGCTGCGACCACAAGTACCGCAACTCCTCCTCCTCGAGACACTTCAGCTGGTATTAGCCCAATTCCTCATCGCTTCAAAATTTTTATGTGGAGAGGCAGACGTCAATCCGCCAAGAAACGCCAACGCATATCCTCCAGCATCAAGCGAGCGCAAGAACTCCGCTTCCTCCTCTTCGACACGACCGGCACGCCTTCCATTCACCCCGACCTTAGATTATCGTGGCTTTTGGGGAACCCGTTCCGCCGTAGACTACTCTCGCATAGAGCGTCTCCCCAGGCTGCTGGCGGTTGATTACGATCAATATATAACCTTAACCATTGTTGAGAACCAGTCAAATTCGGCCACATGTACCAAGTTCAGTGTCGCACAAAGTCCAGTACATAGGGGATGTTCGTGAAATTGTAATTTATAGACTCTACTCGGGAAAAGGGGCATTGAGACTCAAATATCGACACAGGAATGGACCCTAAGAACGCTGCCCAAAGTAGAATGAAAACATTAGCTCCGCATTTTTATCCAAACCACGACATACCGTCTCTGGTAGAGTACTCGCATGCTGTGGAAGTCAATGGTTGTCGCCGGAATCTCAAAACCGTCAGTTCTCCGTCACCGTCGCTTCCTCACTCAGCCTCACTTCCTCCCGCCACCGACCTTTCTTCCTCTCGCATCGCCTTCCGCGTCACCCACGTTTCCCCTTCCTGGCGCTGCCATTTCCCCGGAATCGCAATTTGCTGATCGAGCTTACTGAGGGCTCGCGTTGCCGCACTTTGCGGCGCGCCGCCGCACATTAACCACTCCATGTCACATGACCGTTCCAAGCTTAGCTCACACGCCAAAGCCTCGTAGCGCGATGGGGTTTTCCAGTCAATCTCCTCGTAACGTCGCGGGGCTCGCACCGCGATGAGAATTGAACTTAAATCGCCCCTCTCGGGGTCGGCAGTGCTGGTCGCAGCGTGCGCCGCGTGCCTCGTGGCCGTACTCGCGCTCCACTCGCCGCTCTCTCAGGTGCCCGTGTCCGCGCGCCTCCCGTGTCTGCGCGCATCACTTGTCCGCGCGCCTCCCGTGTCCGCGCGCCTCCCGTGTCCGTGCGCCTCCCGTGTCCGCGCGACTCCCGTGTCCGCGCGCCTCCCGTGTCCGCGCGCCTCGCTTGCCCACGTGCCTCCGTCGCTGCCGCGCGTGCCTTCCCGAGCCTTGCCACCTCGCCTGTCCGATCCACTTTCCCCTTGCCTCTCCCCTCCCACCCGCCCCCTCCCGTCCCTCGGCCCACACCCCTCCCCCCTTCCCTCCCACCGCCCATATCCGCAGCAGCCAGGGGAGGCCCCTCCGGCCCCGTGGGCGGAGCGTGGCGCGGAGGGGAATGCACACCGGCGGAGAGCAGCGGGCGCGCGAGAAGGGGTGTGGGGAAGGGGTGGCGTCGGAAGAATTGGGGCAGGGGCAGCGAGTGGGGAGGATGGAGCGGGAGGAGTGGGGCGCACGGGTGGGAGGCGAGGAGAGGCGGAGGCAGGGGGCGAGCTTGCGGCAGGCAGGCGGCTGCTGGAGGCCATGATGGGGGGCGCGGGGGGTGAGGGGGAACTGGAACAGGCGGAGGACAAGGGGGGTGAGGGGGAACTGGAACAGGCGGAGGACAAGGGGGGTGAGGGGGAACTGGAACAGGCGGAGGACAAGGGGGGTGAGGGGGAACTGGAACAGGCGGAGGACAAGGGGGGTGAGGGGGGACGAGAGGTCGAGGAGCAGACTGAGGCAGCGGGAGCAGAAGGGGAGAAGGAGGGGGATGGGTTGGTTGATGGCAATGCAGGTGGTTTAGATGGCAACGCAAGTGGTTCAGATGGCAAGGCAGGTGGTTCAGATGGCATGGGGTCATTTTTAGAGGTGGAGGGTAGGGCAGAGGAGACGGAGGGAGAGGGTATGGATGGCCATGAGGCAGGTGGTGCGTGGGAGGAGGGGGAGGGAGAGGCAGGGCCGGAGGGCATCACAGCGGGTGGTGGGTGGAGGGAGGCGAGGAAGGGAGTGGAGGTGGCAGCAGCATTGGGAGAAGCAGAGGTTGCAGAGAGTAATGAGAATGTGCTGTTCGACATCCCTCCTGCTCCTCCTCCTCCTCCTCCTCCTCCTCCTCCTCCTCCTGCTGCTGCTGCTGCCCCTGCTGCTGCTGCTATTCCTGATGAGGATGCGGCACAGCAGGGTGAGATGGGAGGGGCTGACGCATGGAGAGGAAGCGAGCACGTGGGGGAGCAGGTGAAGCAACACACCTCATTCACTCACTGCACCACATCATACCACCAGTTTCCCTTTGCTTCCCTCCAACCAACTCCCCCCCACCCTCCCATCTACTTCTCTCCTCCCCTGCTCACAACCACCTGCCCCTTCGCTCTCCTGGCCTCACCGCGCCACCCTCGCCCTGACCTGCCACCATGCCTCGCATCACCCACAGTGTAGCGCTGCCCCTTCCCTCCCCGCAGGTGGAGGCCAAGCCCGCGCACCTGTGGCGGGTGGCAGTGTGCCTCGTGGGCGTGCGCGTAGCTTTGAGCTGACAGGCCCGTCCATAGTGCTGCGCTGCCCCTTCCCTCCCCTCCCTTGCAGGTAGCCACCAAGCCCGCCCACCTGTGGCGGGTGGCGGTGTGTCTCGTGGGCGGCGCGCGCGACTTTGAGCTGACAGGCCCGTCCATCGTGCAGCGACTGCTGCTGCCGCTGCTGCCGCACCGCCCCGTGCTCTTCCTGCACGCGCCCCTTGACGAGGCCGCCTTCAAGCTCTGGCCGCTGCTCTGGGCCGCAAGGCGCGGCGTGGCCGTGGGGGCGGTGAGGGTGTTCGCCAGCACGTGGGTCAATGAGAGCGCCCTGCCGCCGGGAGTTGTGGAGGACCCTTCCTCACCGCATGGCACCCAGGTGGGTGGGTGATGGGGGTTGCATTAGAGAGGGTGCACATCTTGTGTGGCGGTGAGGGTGTTCGCCAGCATGTGGGTTAGTGAGACTGCCCTGGCGCCCGGCCTTGTGGAGGACCCCTCCTCGCCACACGGCACCCAGGTGGGCGGGTGATGGGGTGCATTCAATGGGATGTTCAGCTTGGGTGGCCGCACGCACGTGCATGCTTGCCTGACTGCATGTGAGCAGCATGCTGTGTGCACCCGTGCTGCCAAACCACCACCTCACCCAGGCAAGTCCACCCACCTGTGCACTGCACCGCCTGTCTCCCCACACCCCTCCCATGACACCAGGGCATGCTGCAGTTTTTCCGTCTGGTGGAGGGGTGCATGCCTCTCATCCGCGCCTACGAGCGCCATGCCGTGCGCCCATGCTGCCAACCCACCACCTGCGAACCTGTTCCCCCCCCACCCCACCCCACATGCCAGGGCATGCTGCAGTACTTCCGGCTGGTGGAGGGGTGCATCCCGCTCATCCGCGCCTACGAGCGCCGCCACGCCATCACCTTCGACTGGCTGCTGCGCACGCGAGTCGACACCTTCTGGCACCGCGCCCTGCCGCCGCTCTCCCTCTTCCCCCCACACGCCTACACCATCCCCTTCGGCTCCGACTGCTTTGGTCTCAACGACCGGTTCGGCCTCGGCACGTGGGGGACGGCGCTGCCTGCGCTCTCCCGCCTCTCCATGCTGCCTGCCATCGCTGCGGGCGGCGCGTTTCGGCGGTTTTCTATGGAGGGTGTGGGCGGGCTGGGGCAGGAGGCGAGCAACCCGCATGCCGTCCCCGTGGAGTAGGTGACGCTGGGGTCACACAGCGGGTGGGCGGTGGGTGGGTGGGTGGGTGGGTGAGTGCGTGGGTGTGTGGGTGTGTGGGTGTGTGGGGGGGTGGGCGGATGGGTGGGTGGGTGGGCTGGTCGGGTGGGTGGGTGGGTGGGTGGGTGGGTGGGTAGCAACAGGAGTGTGGGTATAGGACCAGCGAGTGATACTCTGTGAACACCGCTGCTCTGTGTGTACACCATCGCCCCTTCAACACAACACAACCTAGACCCCACCCTGTCCCCCCCTCTGCCCCACGCCATGCCTCCCTCAGGGTACCGGTGGGGCTGAACTCAGAGTAGGCATTCAAGGCGCAGCTGGCGCTGACAGGGGTACCAGTGGCGCGGTCAGACCTGTCGTTCTGTGTGGTGAGCCGGCGCGTTTTGAGACGTCTCAAAAGTCCCCCTGCCACCCCTCCCCCTCACACACCTTTCAGGGTACCAGCAGGGCTGAACTCAGAGCAGGCGTTCAAGGCGCAGCTGGCGCTGGCGGGGGTGCCAGTGGCGCGGGCGGACCTGTCGTTCTGTGTGGTGAGCCGGCGAGTGTACCGGCACCACGCCATGCCCGTGCTCTCCCTCAACGCCTCCACGCCCCTCAACGGCGCCAAGTGCCGCCCCTGCTACCCCAAAATCACAGGCGCCGAGGTGAGGCCCTTTGATCAAAACTGCCGAGGTGAGGCCCTTTGATCAAAACTGCCGAGGTGAGGCCCTTTGATCAAAACTGCCGAGGTGAGGCCCTTTGATCAAAACTGCCGAGGTGAGGCCCTTTGATCAAAACTGCCGAGGTGAGGCCCTTTGATCAAAACTGCCGAGGTGAGGCCCTTTGATCAAAACTGCCGAGGTGAGGCCCTTTGATCAAAACTGCCGAGGTGAGGCCCTTTGATCAAAACTGCCGAGGTGAGGCCCTTTGATCAAAGGTGCCATGAGGGCATGGCAGGGGGCTCACTGCATGGGGCAAGCAGCCGTTCACATGCATACCACATTCCTGATGTGCTTCTTTCAAACACCGTGCCATCTGCTCTCCCACACCTTACTCTGCATGCCTGCATGTCTGCGTGACTGCATGGCTGCATGACTGCATGTGCCAGGCCAATCGGCGCATCCGTCGCTGGTACCTGGAGGGCTCGCGCTTCGGCCCGCACCGCTCGCCGTCATTCGCCAACCGCACCGACTTCTCTCTCTGCGACGCCGCCAAGCCCTGGCCCGCGCCCCACGTGGCGGCGGCCCTGTTTGACGCCGCTGCGGGGCCAAGGCTGGCGAGGGAGCGGCGCTCCACCATGCACGTCACCCTTCGCGGCTGTGCACGCAACTTCAGGAAGGTAGGGGAAATGCGTGCGATGATGGCACTCGCCTCGTGGAGCACCTGTCAGTGCATGAGTCTCGTTGTCTGCATGCATTTCATTACCTGCATGCTCCTCTGATCTGCGTGGCGGCCCTGCCCACTGCCACCTCTCATCCGCCACTCTCTCTCTCTCCTCTCCCCCATCTCCTATTGCCCCCCCAGTTGCGGCGGCACACGGAGGAGTGGCAGGCGCCAGCAGAGGCGGTGCTGTGCTTCCGGTCGCAGCTGGGGGAGGTGCACCTGCTGGGGCCGCCTGGCCAGTGCTTCTACACGGCACTGGAGGGGGTCAACCGCACCAGGTGCGTGCTGCACTCCCACGCTGCCTGCACGTCGCACCCCCACGCTTCCCTCATGTGCGCCCCACCACAGCATGCTGTCCTCACGGTCGCCAGCGCCCACTCACAACCACTGTGCCGCTCGTCACTCGTTCTGCCTTTCCCTCTCCGTGAGCCTGCCCCTGCCCCTCGGCGCCTTGCCCTCACCCGTGTCTGTGCCTGTGCGCGCTCTTACCCCATGCTGCCCACCAGCCTGGTCATGACAACCACTCCGAGATCCGCGCATGCCAAGGGCTCGTGGGAGTGGAGCATGCGGCGCCACGCACCTGGGCTGCTGGTCACTGCACTCCCTGCTGGCCCCACACTTGCGTCCTCCTCCACCGCCCACACACTCAAGGTGCCCTCCGCTGCTGCCCTGCCTTCCATTCTCTTCCTGGCCGTCCCGTGACATCCCTTCCTCATATGCCCCATGTGTGCCCCATGTGTGCCCCATGTGTGCCCCATGCGTGCCCCATGTGTGCCCCATGTGTGCCCCATGTGTCCCCCATGCGTGCCCCATGCGTGCCCCATGCGTGCCCCATGCGTGCCCCATGCGTGCCCCATACGTGCCCCATGCGTGCCCCATGCGTGCCCCATATGTGCCCCATGCGTGCCCCATGCATGCCCCATGCGTGCCCCATGCGTGCCCCATGCATGCTCCATGTGTTGCCCATGCGTGCCCCATGCGTGCCCCATGCGTGCCCCATGCGTGCCCCATGTGTGCCCCATGTGTGCCCCATGTGTGCCCCATGTGTGCCCCATGTGTGCCCCATGTGTGCCTTGCACTCTAGCATAGCTCGTCATCTATCATGCGCTTGCACTCGCATGTATGTGCCTGTATGATTACTCATGCCCTCAAACTCCCCATTTCCCTCACTCTTGAAATGCATCCCCACTCCTCCTTCTCCTCCTCCCCTGCCTTCCACACTCTCTTTGCGTCGTCACCCCACTCCATCCCGCATCCCTCACCCATGCCACCCGCCGCTTTCTACACAGCTCTCACTCACAGGCACCGACCTGCCGCTCATCTTCGACTGGCAGAAGCAGAACGCCTCACTACCCTCTGCTGCTTTCCAAATGCAACCTCCCACCTTCCCCTTTTCTCCCCACTCCCCACTTTCCATCTCTGCAGCTCTCACTCACAGGGGCTGACCTGCCACTCATCTTTGACTGGCAGAAGCAGAACGCCTCAGTGCCCACCTGCCAGCTGCTGCTTGCCTTCCCAGACGCAGTGCCCCCACTCGACCGCAACGCCACCATCACTGCCCTGCAGCAGCTGGGCTTTCACCTCATGGCTTGCATTCAGGAACCGCGTGTTACGGTAGAGAGATGTTCGTTCTTCTCCCTGAAATACTGCTCGCAGCTCTTAGGTATCGGGCCAAAGGCACGGATTGTAAGACAATGAGACATTTCTTTTGAGACGGCTAAGGCATCAATTCCATCCCATGCAAAGGCGAATCCCAATGCACGTTTCAAGCTTGTTACCGTATTTCCACGTCCAGTAAAAAAACAACACACAGAAAACAACCATTCTAACAGTATATCTACAACACATCGTCTTTCATGATTAGGCATCTTGAGATTCTGACAACCAGCATACCGTATATACTAGGCTTGTCACTCTAAAAGTTTCAAGCTCCAGAGGGAGGCAACATTTCTGTAGACTAAGTCGACCATTCTTGCAGGTGATGCAGATTAATACATTCAGTTTTTTTTTTTTCTGTGTTGAATGTAATGATATGTAAGGGTTCTACTCCAACATTTTCCAGCAAATATGTATATACCTATTTATTTAATAAATTTACACTTCTGCTCCTGGAGTTATGAATCTTCACGAATCAACAAGAGGCCTCTCTCTTCGTCCACTTCCACTTCTCTCCCAACAGAGCAGCCAATGGCTCTCTTCCCTCGGGTCCAACTCTCCTCGCTGCAGCCATTGCCGCTGCCGCTGGCAGCTTGACTGACATCCTTGCTGTGGCTCGGGGAGCAAGACGAGTAACGCTCTTTTGCTGGCGGTGAGAGGGCAGACGGAGACGGTGGCAGTGGCAGGGAGCCGTGCTTGCTGGGCGGAGGCGATGCGAGCATGAAGAAGAAAGCAGCTGAGTAGATGCACACATGCCACACACTGCAGACGATGAGGACGATGTGATGCGAGTGAACGAGACACCAACCGGGGGGGACGGAGGGGTTGGGGGGGTAAGTGAACAGGGAGGGAGGGCAGGGGAGTGAACAGAGAAATGTTGATTCTGAAAGCAGCATCAGTCACTATTTGTACACAAGGATCTGTACAAACACGAAAGTGAAGCGTTTTCCTCCCTCCTCCCCTCTTTCCTTCCCCCCTCTTCTCTCACGGTCGGTGCAGTTCAGCACGAGCGCACACTCCCCTCCCACATGCACACATGCACACACACATGCACACACACATGCACACATATGCACACACACGCACAGACACACATGCACACACACATGCACACACACATGCACACACACACGCACACACACAAGCACACACACACGCATGCACGCACGCATGCACGCACATAGGCATGCACGCATGCACAGAGACATGCACGCATTCATGGCACCTCACCTGTGCCAGATCCAGTAGGTGACAGGCACCTCCACGAGGAAGCTGGAGGCCGCCAGCAGCGCCGCCAGCACGCCCAGCAGCAGCGACGGCAGGTGGAACGCGGCGAGCAGGGCACGCAGCATGCGCAGTGCCTCACCCACCTGCTTGCACCACCTGCTGGCCGCGAGAGTAGAATGGGACGAGCGTGCGAGGGAGACACAGTTGATCAGGTGATTGGAATGCGTTGAAGAGAAGAGAAGGGGAAGGGGTGGTAAGAGATGCCTGTGGACGGGCGGCATGCAGCGTGTGGACGCAGGTGATGCAGTGAAAGACACAATTGACAAAAACGGTGTGCCACTGCCCACATGCCACTGAACACATGCCACTGCCCGCCCACACTACATGCTCGTTAACATGGTCATGTCTACCACTGCCATGCCGCCCATGCCATGACGCCCATGCCATGCCGCCCATGCCATGCCGCCCATGCCATGCCGCCCATGCCATGACGCCCATGCCATGCCGCCCATGCCATGCCGCCCATGCCATGCCGCCCATGCCATGCCGCCCATGCCATGCCGCCCATGCCATGCCGCCCATGCCATGCCGCCCATGCCATGCCGCCCATGCCATGCCGCCCATGCCATGCCGCCCATGCCATGCCGCCCATGCCATGACGCCCATGCCATGCCGCCCATGCCATGACGCCCATGCCATGCCGCCCATGCCATGCCGCCCATGCCATGACGCCCATGCCATGCCGCCCATGCCATGCCGCCCATGCCATGCCGCCCATGCCATGCCGCCCATGCCATGCCGCCCATGCCATGCCGCCCATGCCATGCCGCCCATGCCATGCCGCCCATGCCATGCCGCCCATGCCATGCCGCCCATGCCATGCCGCCCATGCCATGCCGCCCATGCCATGCCGCCCATGCCATGCCGCCCATGCCATGCCGCCCATGCCATGACGCCCATGCCATGCCGCCCATGCCATGCCGCCCATGCCATGCCGCCCATGCCATGCCGCCCGTGCCATGCCGCCCGTGCCATGCCGTCCATGCCATGCCGCCCATGCCATGCCGCCCATGCCATGCCGCCCATGCCATGCCGCCCATGCCATGATGCCCATGCCATGCCGCCCATGCCATGCCGCCCATGCCATGCCGCCCATGCCATGCCGCCCATGCCATGCCGCCCATGCCATGCCGCCCATGCCATGCCGCCCATGCCATGCCGCCCATGCCATGCCGCCCATGCCATGCCACCGATGTCACACACCATTGGAACGCTCTTTTCCACACGGATGCTTGCTGCCGCGCTTTACTTGTCCTTGCAACCCCACATGACCACTCTGCACCACTGCTGCTGCTGCCACCACAGCTTTCAGAGTCACAGGCAGTGCTCATTTCACCGCCACGCCGGTAACCATGCGTGCAAGGCGACGAGAGCAGAGAGGCGTCCTCGTCCTCCCCATCCACATGGCCGCCCTGGGACGCTTCTTCCCCCCACTCGCCAGCGCAGCCACCCGCTTTGCGAGGGGCGTTGGCGGCATGAGGATCGGAGCAAGAGGAGGTGCGGGAGTGGCGCAGAGCTGCTAGGCGGATGAGCCAGCCGGTGATGAGCGCTGCTGCTCCCAGTGCCAGCAGCACCACGATGCTCCACCCACTGCATGCCGTGGTGGGAGGGGCACACACGGGGAATATTTAGTCAGGCGAAGAAGCAGGAAAGGTAGAGCAGGGAGGAAAGGATGGAGACTGAAATTGAAAGAGAATGTTGAAACAATCAGCTGAGCGACCCTACCACGTGGATTAGATAAGGCCTGTAGGAAGACGAAGGACTTCCTACCTATCATGTGCCTTGACAGGCAAGCAACAGAGAGTGGGAGCACAGGACTGGCAGGGTGAAACGTGAAAGGTATTGAAGGGCCTTGAGGCCCGCCTTGTGGCCTGTGCCATTGCATTCACCTCACCTTCTGGCCCTGTGCCTGCTGGTTCACCTGGTGGCTCACCTGGTAAGTTGGCCCTCTGAGCCCTCTCAGCCCACCTGGTGGCTCACCTGGCGCCTCACCTGGTGGGTCACCTGGTGGCGCGGTCGACAGCCGTGGCGGCAGTGTAGAAGGAGGCGAGCACGAAAAAGAGGAAGCGCATTGAGGGAGGGAGAGTGAGAACACAGGGCAGATAAGGTGCAAGGCAGTGGAGGCATTGCCTCACCTGGTGGCGCGGTCGACAGCAAGAATGGAGGTGGAGAAGGAGGCGAGGACGAAGAAGAAGAAGCGCGGCCAGATGGGCACTTGCGCCGCGTGCAGGAAGGCCAGCAGCACGGCGAGGAAGGACGAGTAGAAGTCGGCGAACTGCAGCGTGGGGTAGCGCGCCGCGCACCAGCCGTCCGTGTCGCACAGGTGGTAGAGCGCAGAGCACAGGCCGTTGAGGGAGAACATCACCCACTCGGGGTATGCCTGGTTGGGGTTAGTGCATGGGTGGGAGTGGGTAGGGAGGGCGGATGTGGGAGTTTTAAAACGTCTCAGAATGCAGGGTGGGGTAGCGTGCAGCACACCAGCCGTCGGCGTCGCAACAGATGCAGAGCACAGGCCGTTGAGAGAGACCATGACCCGCTCGGGGTATGCCTGGTTGGGGTTAGTGCATGGGTGGGAGTGGGTAGGGAGGGCGGATGTGGGAGTTTTAAAACGTCTCAGAATGCAGGGTGGGGTAGCGTGCAGCACACCAGCCGTCGGCGTCGCAACAGATGCAGAGCACAGGCCGTTGAGAGAGACCATGACCCGCTCGGGGTATGCCTGGTTGGGGTTAGTGCATGGGTGGGAGTGGGTAGGGAGGGCGGATGTGGGAGTTTTAAAACGTCTCAGAATGCAGGGTGGGGTAGCGTGCAGCACACCAGCCGTCGGCGTCGCAACAGATGCAGAGCACAGGCCGTTGAGAGAGACCATGACCCGCTCGGGGTATGCCTGGTTGGGGTTAGTGCATGGGTGGGAGTGGGTAGGGAGGGCGGATGTGGGAGTTTTAAAACGTCTCAGAATGCAGGGTGGGGTAGCGTGCAGCACACCAGCCGTCGGCGTCGCAACAGATGCAGAGCACAGGCCGTTGAGAGAGACCATGACCCGCTCGGGGTATGCCTGGTTGGGGTTAGTGCATGGGTGGGAGTGGGTAGGGAGGGCGGATGTGGGAGTTTTAAAACGTCTCAGAATGCAGGGTGGGGTAGCGTGCAGCACACCAGCCGTCGGCGTCGCAACAGATGCAGAGCACAGGCCGTTGAGAGAGACCATGACCCGCTCGGGGTATGCCTGGTTGGGGTTAGTGCATGGGTGGGAGTGGGTAGGGAGGGCGGATGTGGGAGTTTTAAAACGTCTCAGAATGCAGGGTGGGGTAGCGTGCAGCACACCAGCCGTCGGCGTCGCAACAGATGCAGAGCACAGGCCGTTGAGAGAGACCATGACCCGCTCGGGGTATGCCTGGTTGGGGTTAGTGCATGGGTGGGAGTGGGTAGGGAGGGCGGATGTGGGAGTTTTAAAACGTCTCAGAATGCAGGGTGGGGTAGCGTGCAGCACACCAGCCGTCGGCGTCGCAACAGATGCAGAGCACAGGCCGTTGAGAGAGACCATGACCCGCTCGGGGTATGCCTGGTTGGGGTTAGTGCATGGGTGGGAGTGGGTAGGGAGGGCGGATGTGGGCGCGCATGTGGGTGAGTGGGGGAAGATGATAGGGATGCAGTGGAGTGCGGGTGGGTGGAGGAAGTAAGGAGCGATGCAGAGTGGTGTGAGCAAGCACAGGTTGTGTCCATCATGCAATGCCTTACCCCAAGGTACAGCGAAACCATGGCTGGCAGCACGGCCACCACGTTGCTCCCCACCAGCGCCCACCGCTGCTGCTCTATGCCTGCCAGTCACCGGGGCAGAAGGCCATGAAGGACAGATGGTAGGCGGACGAAAGTAGGCAAGAGAGAATAAGGAAGTAATATTTGAAGGTAGAAATGATGCACAGCTGCAGTGTTAGACAGTTCCAAGCTCGGCTTGCACCACTTATAAGCGACAAACAGATAAGTAGGAGAGACGAGAGGAGACGGGGAAAGGAGACGAGGAGTGAGAGGAGAGAGGCAGCATGTGAGCATAAAGAGCAGATGGCGGTGTTGAGTGGCGAGCACATGTTGACACGCCACAGAGATGGGCGGTTCACATCGCGCTGTGCTGGCGCTCCACCCAGCAGCACAGAGCCAATGGCAGCAGCACGCACCCAATGTCAGCAGCACGCACCTAGCTGTGAGACTGTCTCAATGGAACAGTCCACACCCCCGTGGGACCGATCGCAGAAGCAGTAGCTGTGGTGGGGAAGAGAGGTTGATGAGAGTTGCACGAGAGAGGAGGCGCGAGTGAGTGCAGTGTTGAAAGCAGGCAGAGGCGAGTGAGAGGACATGGCAAAGCGAGTGAGATGAATGATGCAGTGGTGGACCTGTGAGTGCACCCATGTTTGCGAGTGGAAGACTGGTGAGTAACGCGTGGAGGAGAGTGGGTAAAAGGGAAACGGGAAAGCGGGAGAGGGGGAGCACAGAAGAGAGGGGGAAGAGGGCGGCGTACTAGACGCCGAATTGGAAGGCGCCGTCTGCCATGACGTGGCAGGGGCTGCCGGAGCAGCCGTTGGGACACCCGTGCTGCACCACCCGCACCTCCCACTCCCACGCCCACTCCCCCTCGCCACCCTCCCCATCTCCTCCCCCCTCCCCCTGGCCCCCGCTCTCCCCCTCGTGCTCCTCCCTTGCCCCTGGCGGGGGGGCGTCCAGCCCCACAGCGACGAAGGTGGTGACCTCTGCGGGGTGGATCAGCTCCAGTGACAGCTGCCCTCCCCTGCCCGCTGCACAGGGGTGGGGGGAGGAGGGGTGGAGAGGGGTGGGGGAAGGTGAGGGCCGGTGGTGACCTCCGCGTGGTGGATGAGCTCCTGTGAGAGCTGCCCGCCCCTGGGCGCTGCAGGATTGGGGGAGTGAAGGGGATAAGTTGGGAGTAGAGATGGAGAGGGATGGAGAAGGGTGGGGGAAAGGTGAGGGCAGTTGTGGCCTGAGGACGTGGAAGGCATGGGATGTGAGGGGAGGAGCGGACTGGGAGGAGTGGAGAGCGAGGCGGGAAGGAGGTCGAGTGGTTTGGGGGCTAGGAGAGGAACACCCAGTAGAAGCACCCTTCATCCTACCCACCCACCCACCCACCCACCCACCCACCCACCCGCCCACCCACCCACCCACCCACCTCACTACCTCCCCACACACCCACTCACTGACCCATATCTGTGGCGGGTGCAACAGCGGAGGCATCAAAGCGAGTGAGGGACGGCAGGCCACCCGCACGCACGAGCAGATACACAGACGCACGCGGGACTGATGACCCCGCTGCTGCCACTGCTGCTGCTGCTGCTGCTGTTGCCACTGCCACCACTCTCCCCCACCGCTACACCCTCTCCCCCTTGCCCCTCCCCATCCCCCTGCGCCCCTGCGCCCCCCCTGAGCGGCAGGAGGCGCAGGTGGATGGAGAGCACGCCCCCACGCGCGCCAAAGGGCGGGGTGAGGGAGAGGAAGGCCCAGGAGGGGCGCGCAGGGGAGGGCGAGGCGGCGAGGGGCACGGGGAACCAGGAGTCCCACAGGGCAGGCGGGGTGGGCGAGGCGGGGGGGAGGAAGGCTGCGTCGAGCCCCGACTCGTATGTCCATGAGAGCAGGTGCGGCTGAGGGGAGAGGGGGCGGGGGGTTGGGGGGAGGGATGACTTTTGAGTCGACTCAAGAGGCGGCGAGGGGCACGGGGAACCATGATGACCACAGGGCGGGCGGGGTGGGCGAGGCGGGTGGTAGGTAGGCTGCATCAAGCCCCGACTCGTATGACCACGAGAGCAGGTGCGGCTGGGGGGAGGGGAGGGGAGGAGGGGGACACGACACGGGCGTGAGGAAGAGGGGAAGCGTTGATGGCTAGGGGGGGAGGGTAGAAGCAGAGGCAGGTAAGGTGCATGGAGAGCCGATGCAGCTCGAGGGATGGGGTACGGTCGTATGGAAAGGGTGATGGGGGGAGGGGGAGGGGGAGGGGTGTGGGGGAAGGGTGTGGGGGAAGGGTGTGGGGGAGGGGTGTGGGGGAAGGGTGTGGGGGAGGGGTGTGGGGGAAGGGTGTGGGGGAGGGGTGTGGGGGAAGGGGTGTGGGGGAAGGGTGTGGGGGAGGGTGTGGGGGAGGGGAGGGGAGGGGGTGGGGGAAGGGGTGTGGGGGAAGGGGTGTGGGGGAAGGGGTGTGGGGGAAGGGGTGTGGGGGAAGGGGTGTGGGGGAAGGGGTGTGGGGGAAGGGGTGTGGGGGAAGGGGTGTGGGGGAAGGGGTGTGGGGGAAGGGGTGTGTGGGGGGGGGGGTGTGGGGAAGGGGTGTGGGGGAAGGGGTGTGGGGGAAGGGGTGTGGGGGAAGGGGTGTGGGGGAAGGGGTGTGGGGGAAGGGGTGTGGGGGAAGGGGTGTGGGGGAAGGGGTGTGGGGGAAGGGGTGTGGGGGAAGGGGTGTGGGGGAAGGGGTGTGGGGGAAGGGGTGTGGGGGAAGGGGTGTGGGGGAAGGGGTGTGGGGAAGGGGTGTGGGGGAAGGGGTGTGGGGGAAGGGGTGTGGGGGAAGGGGTGTGGGGGGAAGGGGTGTGGGGGAAGGGGTGTGGGGGAAGGGGTGTGGGGGAAGGGGTGTGGGGAAGGGGTGTGGGGGAAGGGGTGTGGGGAAGGGGTGTGGGGGAAGGGGTGTGGGGGAAGGGGTGTGGGGGAAGGGGTGTGGGGGAAGGGGTGTGGGGGAAGGGGTGTGGGGGAAGGGGTGTGGGGGAAGGGGTGTGGGGGAAGGGGTGTGGGGGAAGGGGTGTGGGGGAAGGGGTGTGGGGGAAGGGGTGTGGGGGAAGGGGTGTGGGGGAAGGGGTGTGGGGGAAGGGGTGTGGGGGAAGGGGTGTGGGGGAAGGGGTGTGGGGGAAGGGGGTGGGGGAAGGGGTGTGGGGGAAGGGGTGTGGGGGAAGGGGTGTGGGGGAAGGGGTGTGGGGGAAGGGGTGTGGGGGAAGGGGTGTGGGGAAGGGGTGTGGGGGAAGGGGTGTGGGGGAAGGGGTGTGGGGGAAGGGGTGTGGGGGAAGGGGTGTGGGGGAAGGGGTGTGGGGGAAGGGGTGTGGGGGAAGGGGTGTGGGGGAAGGGGTGTGGGGGAAGGGGTGTGGGGAAGGGGTGTGGGGAAGGGGTGTGGGGGAAGGGGTGTGGGGGAAGGGGTGTGGGGGAAGGGGTGTGGGGGAAGGGGTGTGGGGGAAGGGGTGTGGGGGAAGGGGTGTGGGGGAAGGGGTGTGGGGGAAGGGACGAAAGTGGTGCGGGCGGAGGGGAGGAGGGGGGAGGAGAGGAACGAGGAAGAGAGGTGGGAGGAGTGGAGCACGGATGATAGGAGGGAGGAGGAGAGGAGGAGAGTGCTGAGGAGAGGAAGAGAGGGCCAGATAGTGGTTCAGGATTTGAATGGGGACCACTTTCGTTTCTTCCCCCCGTTTCTTCCCCCCGTTTCTTCCCCCCGTTTCTTCCCCCCGTTTCTTCCCCCCGTTTCTTCCCCCCGTTTCTTCCCCCCGTTTCTTCCCCCGTTTCTTCCCCCGTTTCTTCCCCCCGTTTCTTCCCCCCGTTTCTTCCCCCCGTTTCTTCCCCCCGTTTCTTCCCCCACCTCCACGCTCCCCTCTATGCTCACCTCCAGAGGGATGAGCGGCCACTGGCACTGAGGCCCGGTGAGGCGGGGGAAACACGTGGCAGCCTTCCATTGGATGCTCACACACACCTCTCCGCCCCCTTCGCCCTCATCCGCAGAGCCCCCCTGCTGCCCGTGCGTCCATGACCCCCCCCACAGCGACGCCCACCACCCACCATCCCCCCCCTCTCTACCACCACTGTTACCACTGCCAACACTGGTACTATCATTAACACCAATGCTGCTGCTGTTGCTAACGGTGCTGCCATTACCGGAACCACTCCTCCCAGCGCGGCTAGCAGGGTGGGAGAGCAGCAGGTGCCAGGAGCCCGGGTCAGCCACGCTCTGCCAGCTGCCCATGTCCATGCGCCCCTCGCTCCACCACACATCCACCCCCGCCTCCCCCTCCGCTCCCCATCTCCCCTGCCCTTCCCTGCCCCTACTGCCGCCACCGCTGCTGCTGCTGCTGCTGCTGCCTGCTTGCTCCATGTTCTCCGAAGGCGGCTGCACAGAAAACGAGGGCCCAGCTGGCGCACCACGATTGGACGAGCCGAGGAGAGCCATGCGGCGCAGCTGCACGGAGAGAGAGGCGTTGGCGGCGTGGGCGTGGCCCGTGAGCCACGATGGGAGGGGCGAGGCAGAGGAAGACGAAGAGGAGGAGGAGGGTTCAGGGTATATTGAGATGAGGAGCTTGGGGAGGGGCTGGGGGATGGCGAGGGTGAAGAGGAGCGGGGGTGAGGAGGGGCGCAGGCACTGGTGAGTGAGAGAGCCCCCGTACAGGGCGTCCATGCCCGGTGCTGTGAATGCATCGTGATTGAGGGGAGAGGGGTACGCGGGGGAGGAAGGGGTGGGAGGAGGGGAAGGGGGGGAGGGGGAGGGAGAGGAGGAGGAGGGGGATGGGGATGGTGATGGGGATGGGGCGGGAGGGGAGGAGGAGTCGTTTCCAGACGAAGTATTGGCTTCTTGCGGCGGCATAGGCACAGATGCGCGAGGGGGAAGAAAGGTGTGGGAGGAGAGGGGGTGGAGGGGCAGAGGCGTGCGCGAGTCGTTGCAGAAGCGGCCGGAGAGGAGAGGCGCGTTGAAGCAGGAGAAGGCGGTGAGGGCGAGGTCGAAGGTGTGCGACGTGCCCTGCAGCACCATCTTTGACTGCGTGCGCGCCGGCCCCCACTCGCTGAACACACCCACGTTCCACACGCCGCCACCGGTTGCTGTTGGCGAGTGCGATGGGAGGGGTCAGGGAGTTGGGGTTGAGAAAAGGCGGTGAGGGCGAGGTGGAAGGTGTGGGCCGTGCCCCCACTTGCTGAACACCCCCACGTTCCATGTTCCTGCTACCGGTTGCTGTGGTCAATGAGAGGAGGGAGATAGGGTGAGATGGGGGGGTAGGGGTGGGTGTGAGTGTGAGTGTGAGTGTGAGCGAGATGCGCCCCACTCGCTGAACACCCCCACGTTCCACACGCCCGCTACCGGTTGCCGCGGGCGTGTTGGACGGGAGGGGTGAGGGAGATAGGGATGGGAAAGATGGGAGGGATGCGAGGAGCAGGATGAGAAGAATACTGGATTGGGTCGAATGGTGAAGGTTGACGAGGTGGGTTGCGAAATGAAGGGTGGTGCACAGAAGGCACACAGCACAGACCACCCAAGGCACGTCAGAGGGAACATGACATGAGAGGGCACCACAGAGATCGCATGCATCCAACCACCATGCCATTGTCCTGCCGCCTGCCAGCCTACCCCCGCCTCACGCCCTCACCTGGTCGGCAGGAAGGCTGAAGACAGCAGTGGAGTGGAACAAGGCGCAGTGCGACTGCCCCGCCCCTCCCCTTCTCCCACCCCCCAACCCCGACCCTCCTTCCCCCTCTGTGCCATTCCCCTTACCACCGCCGCCCGCCCACCCTTCCCCCACCATAGCCGCGATTGCAGCTGCAGCAGAAGCGTCTACCATCCGCCCTCCCCCACCCTTCCCCGCCCCTGCGCCTCCCCCTGCCCCCGGGCCATCCCCCAGTCCCTGCCCGCGCTCCACTGTGACTGCGCCCATGGCCCCGCCGAAGGGGGAGAGAGCTCCCCCCGCTGCCTTGGCTGCTGCCTCCAGTGACTCGTCTGCAACGAGTGGGAGGGAAGGGAGGAAGGGGCGAAGGGGAAGGGAGAGGAGCAGGCAGTTGGAGAGCGGAGTGGAAACGGAATGGAAAGGGATTGGGAACAGAGGTGGGAACGGAAGAGGGAATGGGGAATGTATGGCTGGATGGAGCTTGAGAAATGGGTTGGGACCGGATTGGGAAAGTACAGGTAGGGGCGAGGATGAAGTAGCGCGGGCGGGGCAGTGAGGGAGCGGGCAGAGCACTGGGAGCGCAATGACACACGAGGATTGGGCAAGGGGGATGGAGCAAGGGGAGTGGCAGTGGGAGAAGGGTTTTGCCGGAGCGAGTGAGAGGAGGCCAAGTGCAGTGGAGGGGAGAATGTGCGTCCGGCAGCTGGGTCAAGAGACTGTGTGATGTGAAGGCGTGGGCGGGAAGCAGAGGGGGCTGTAGCATGAGCAATCTGTAGCAGGCGGCAGACGGCAGACGGCAGGCAGGCGGCAGACGGCAGACGGCAGGTGTGTGAAGGGAAGGGAAGGGCGGCACTCACATTGTGGCTCGTGGTCTGACGGCAGAGGCAGTGAGCCGAGCGCGAAGCACACCAGCGGACCACGCGATGCCCCTGCCTCCGCGCTACTGTTGCTGCCTGCTTGCCGCGACTCCCCCGCAGGCGCTTCGTCCTGGTGGAGGGGCGGGAGGGGCGGGGCACAGGAGGAGATGGGGAGGGGGGAGAGGGGTGCATAAAACCGAGATGGGATGAAGGAGGTGGGAATGAGAGAGAGTGTTGGCGAAGGGAAGCGGAATAAGAACATCGGGGGCCCCCAGCTTACCCCCCCCGCGCGGTCCAGCTTGCCCTCTGCGCGCCCAGCTTACCCCCTGCGCGGTCCCCATCTTACCCTCTGCGCGGCCCACAACTTAGCCAGCGCGGTCCCCTGCTTACCCCCTGCGCGGCCCACAGCTTACCCCCTGCGCGGCCCACAACTTGCGGAACTCGAACCTCACAATCAGCGCGCCCTCCGGCACCTCCGCTACACCCCGCACCGCGCGAGGCGATTGTGTGTTTGGAGGAGGAGAGGGACGGGGGGGAACGGGAGGGGGAAATGGGGAGGGGGGATGGGGGAAGAGAGGCCTTGGGATGTGGGCAGGGCAACAGCGGCAAGGAGCATCCATCCAGATCACCAGCCCATGCGTAGTAATGGATGTACAGAGTCGAATCAGCTTATATGGAAGTACATTGAGTGGTAGCGGCGTACCAGGGAAGTACATCCACTCGTACGGGCCGACGACGCTGCTGGGGTACGACGCTGTCGCCGACTTCATGAGATTCGGGTACTCGCTCTGAATCGCAGAACGTCGCACGTCGTCGCTAAGAGTCGCGCGGCGACGAGGGGTGCGCCATGGGTCGGATGACGACGACAAATGGGGTAGTGACGAGGGGTGGGGAAGGGAAGGGGATGCGAAGGAAAGGAGGAGCGGGAGAAGGAAGAGGCAGACGTGGCGGCGTAGGGAAGCCATGGATAGATGAGCAACCTAAGGCGAAGAGATGGAAACTAAGATTCGAGTGCAACGACAAGGGCGAGTTAGTCCACGCGAATTTAAGACGAATAGGGCGCTTGTTCAAATTGGCTTCTCGATCGAGGGTGCGCCATTGCTTGGCTGAAATTCCCGGAAGTGAGCTGAACTACAACTGGATATATACCGGTACCAACGCCATATAACGCAAATCGTCTGCAGTATCAGAAATTTGCACGTCAAGGTTGCGAGACTACAGACTAATTCGCGCTCTAATCGTGTGAACGTGAAACACTTCAACAAACTTGGCTTGGGTGGAGGGAGGTGAGGGGAAGGGAGGTGCGCTGTAGAGGAATTAGCCCTACGGGCAGGTTATTGATCTCTTTTGAAACTTCACATACGCACAACAGGCAACTATGTCATGATTTTCTTCTTTGGCGGCCCAGCTGACATTCGAGACGTTTCCGTAACTACCAGTAATGATGGGTGGTTTGCTCTGTGCTGACCGAAGCCAAGGGTGAGATTATAATCAATCAGCAAGTACTTCAACTTGCCGCGTCGCCCTTGGGCTTCCATGCCACACGGCGCACCGAATTTCCCAACCACAGAGACAGGTACGGCAAAGCAGGCTGCTGGCCCTCACTTTGTCACATCTCGCTAGAGTATATTTTGATTACGGCTTGTGTATTGTGTATCAACATTTACGAGATGACGCATGATAGTGATCGCATCTCTCCCATGTCGCGTACAGAATGAAGCGGTATATTCTCCCCTCACCAAGTCGCAGGTGCATTGAGTAACCTGAACCGCAGCGCTTTGTTGACGGAACAAGGTTGAAACAGTTACGACCGTCAACACCTGGACGCGCAGCGGCCACGTCTGCTCCCCAACTACCCTTGGCCTACACTTGTTCCTCCAATGGGCAGCAACCCACGGCGACAACATCTTGTGGTGCAGCTCCAGGTGTTGGTGGCCACCTGGACTCCGATGACATCAGCTCAGCATAGCCAAGCTCAACCCGTGGCCAGCGCGATTACATTGATCGCACGTGGCAGCGGTACGGTCAGCAACGTTGGTTCTTTAGCGGGACAACCTTTCATCCGCGTTTGAAGCATCTTTCCCGTCAAGCGTTGCCTCTCAGGCGACCGTTAGTTGGTTGGTTGGGATTGTACCAGTAGTTAGTGCTCGGATCAGTACTTATCCACCACACCACCTCACATTCTTCTCGAACTCGTTCCTTGAAATTATCAAATCTCCTTTGCCCAGTCGCAGTTTCCTTTCGCTCTTCGGCGCCGTAATTTTCTACTGTTGCTCCTTTTCTACCCTGTAACTGCGACTGTATCGCCGCGCACCGAGTTTATCGGCCACCACACAGCAGCACGCCAGCATGAAGGCTCTCATTCTCGTCGGCGGCTTCGGCACGCGGCTGCGGCCGCTGACCCTGAGCGTGCCCAAGCCGCTCGTCGACTTCGCGAACAAGCCCATGATCCTCCACCAGATCGAGGCGCTCAAGGCAGCGGGCGTGGACGAGGTCGTTCTCGCCATCAACTACCAACCCGAGGTACGCCGCCGCTCCCTCGCCATCTCCCTCGCAATCTCCCTCGCTGACCTTCACGCACCCGTTTAACAAGTCAGATCACACGTGAAATCACCTGAAGATCGACATATTTCCGTTCGCGCCTTCTACTCTCATCATCCCACTCAATATCCAACGAGCATCCTCCCGGACCTCCCGCACGACCCCCGCGCGATGCGATGCGATGCGATGCGATGCGCACGTGGCACACGTGGCAGGTGATGATGACGTTCATCAAGGAGTACGAGGCGAAGGTGGGCATCCGCATCGTGTGCTCGCAGGAGAAGGAGCCGATGGGCACGGCGGGCCCGCTGGCGCTCGCCAGACACATCCTGGACGACGGCACGGGCGACCCGTTCTTCGTGCTCAACAGCGACGTCATCAGCGAGTACCCGCTCACTCAGATGCTCGACTTCCATAAGAAGCACGGCGGCGAGTGCACCATCATGGTCACCAAGGTCAGTCTGTCGCCGCGCGCCGCAAGATGGTCGCATAGAAACCGTTGCTAGTTAATGAATCAGTCGCATCTTACAAATTTCCCGTGAATCGCTTTTTTTTTCTTCTTCTTCGTCTTCTTCACAAATCAAACAGCGAGTGCGTTCGCCTCCTCCTGTTTCCACACACAACACTCTTCGGTGCTGCTACATCACAAATTCACACTTCTCTTTCCCCTTCCACTGCAACCTCCCTCTTTCCCCCTCTCCCCCCATTTTCCCCACCCATCGCTCCCCTCTCCGCTTTCCTTGAGCAGGTGGAGGAGCCGTCCAAGTACGGCGTGGTGGTGGTGGACGAAGCAACTGTAGAGTCGACTCTAAAGTCCCCGTTGTTCCTCCCTCCCTCTCCCCACTCCCCCCTCCTCCTCTCTCCGCGCGCAGGTGGAGGAGCCATCCAAGTACGGCGTGGTGGTGGTGGACGAAGCGACCTCGTGCGTGCAGCGGTTCGTGGAGAAGCCCAAGGTGTTCGTGGGCAACAAGATCAACGCGGGCATCTACCTGCTGGACGCGCGCGCGCTCAATCCCTTCCCCGTATCCCACCCCGCACCCCCTCGCCCCACTTACAGGTAGAAGAGCCATCCAAGTACGGAGTGGTGGTGGTAGACGAGGCCACGTCGTGCGTGCAGCGGTTTGTGGAGAAGCCCAAGGTGTTCGTGGGGAACAAGATCAACGCGGGCATCTACCTGCTGGACGCGCGCGTGCTGGACCGCATCGAGCTGCGCCCCACGTCCATCGAGAAGGAGGTCTTTCCCAAGATCGCCGCCGAGGGCAAGCTCTTCGCCATGGTGCTTCCCGGGTTCTGGATGGACGTCGGCCAGCCGCGCGACTACAACAGCGGACTCAGGCTCTACCTCGAGTCTCTTCGCCACAATCAGTGAGTGCAAACCGGTGCACAGGGGTTGGTTGCATGGCGTGTGGTGTTCCCCAAGATCGCCGCCGAGGGCAAGCTGTTCGCCATGGTGCTGCCCAGGTTTTGGATGGACGTCGGCCAGCCGCGCGACTACAACAGCGGACTCCGGCTCTACCTCGAGTCGCTGCGCCACAACCAGTGAGTGCCCGCCATTGCGTGGCGGATCGCGCTAGTTGTATATGCGGGTCCATTTCGAGTTTTTGTGCCGTCGCCTGAAAGCCAGTCCTCGTCTCCTACACGCGACGTACTGTTTTGATTGGCGCAGCACGCTGCTGGCCACACGCAACCCAGCCTCGTAGCCGCTGCAGGATGGCCCTTGAACTACATCCCCTGGTTCCGTACCTCGTCTATCGCCGCATTCCAGCCCGAAACCTGTGGCCCGAGTTGAATTTAAAGCAGCTGGTCCCCTTTGGGAGGCACCTAGAACGCGAGCTTTATGCAACAGACGTTAGGCAGCGCCGGAGGGGGCAGTTGCCGCACCGTGAGAGCAGCGCATAGCAGCAGCGGCTTACGCATGGTGCATGCACAGGCTTTGGTCCTCCCCGCACTGCATCTCGTGCTTTATGGCATACACAGCACGGCGCGGGTGCCCGAGCATGCTGTCGGTCCGCCTTTGCCTTTGGTGCATCTATTGTCCCTAATTCTCGCATGCTCTCCCCCTCCCTTTCTCTCTCTCTTCCTCCCTTCCACCCTTCCTGTGTGCTGCCGCTCAGTCCCGAGCAGCTAGCGACAGGCAAGCACATAGTGGGCAACGTCTTGGTGGATCCAACGGCCACCATCGGCGAGGGGTGTCTGATCGGCCCCGACGTGTCCATCGGCCCCGGCTGTGTGATTGCGGACGGCGTGCGGCTGGCGCGCTGCACCATCATGCGCGGTGTGCGCATCGGCAAGCACGCCTGCGTCACCGGCAGCATTGTCGGGTGAGTCCCTCTTCTTTCCGCCCCTGCTCTCCCTGCTCCTCCTACTCCTGCTGCTGGTGGTTTGGTGTTGGGGATGTAGTGTGTGCGCGGCAACTTCGCTGGCATGGTTTTATGATGGTGTGTATATGTGAATGCATGAAACAAAGAGCATCATGCACTATTACCTCCACAACTCAACTGTGGTCGTAACCATGGACGTATCTGCAGTGAGACTCACCCCCGCACAGGCAAGCTGCATGCGCCCATGCACACCATGCACATCGCACATAGTTGCTTCCACCCAACATCGCATTCCATACCTGCTGCAATCTCGTTCTCACTCTTGCACTCCTTTCAACCCTATGCACCCCATGCAACACATCCACCCCATGCACCCCGTGCAACCCTGGCAGGTGGCATTCAACGGTGGGGCAGTGGGCGCGGTTGGAGAACATGACAGTGCTGGGCGAGGATGTGCACATTCAAGACGAGGTGTACGCCAATGGGGGCGTCGTGCTGCCTCACAAGGAGATCAAGGCCAACATTCTCAAGCCTGAGATCGTCATGTAGATAAACCCACCCTAGTGTATTTACGGAGTGCAAGCTCCAGTGTAGTCTTTAGAACACTGCACCGCTTTGTACCATGCCATTTATTTTCCTTCAAATAGAGACCCACTAAATTGATCTCGGGTGCACTTTTGTTTCAAATACTGGTACTGGCTTCAAATTTCCATTAGAGTATGCTGGTAGTACCTAGCCTGCAGGATGCTGTTCATGGA